GTGTGAAAAACTTAATTTTGGACCTAGAGTGTTCAAATTTGGTAGGAATACAGGCGGCAGGATGGGAACACTTATGTTGGGTGGCAGGACCGGACTCCACCCTCAAGTAGCAGGGCTCGGGCAGAAACTTATGAATCCTGTTCCTATAGACTTAGAGAGTTCAAATTTGGTAGCAGTACAGGCGGCAGCATAGGAACACCAATGGTGGGTGTCAGGGCCGGACTCCGCCCACAGTGGCCCATTGGGCGGGGTTTGAACGGAAAACGGGCTTGCAGAGACTGTCAAAATGGACCTAGAGCTACCAAACGTGGTAGGAATAGAGGAGGCATGATAGGTACACTATAATAGGCTGAGGGGCTAAACTTTGCCCCAAAGGGCGGGGCGTGAATAAATAGTGTTAGTTCGGACCCAGACCGTTGAAACTTGAAGGCACAAGGAGTTGGCTGGGAACATTGATGGTTGCTAACACAATAGACTCAGCCGCAATGACGTCTCTGGATATTTTTTTTTCTCTGAATGATCGCCTCTGTGATATTATACGATGTTCTAGTCGGGCACAGCGAAAATGGCTTACAGAAAAAATCGCTCCCAATTCGGCGCTAATACTGAGGGTGTAGAGCTTTCAAAGAAAAGGCAGAATCCGAAGTGTTATTCACGCATAGCAAATTTCTTAAGGAGAGAGGAACGCCCGGCGTAGCCGGGCGAACCCATAAGAAGGAGGGAAGCCCGGCGTTAGCCGGGCGGCCCGACTGGTACTTTCACAAGACGCGTGTCAATTTATGATGTCCAATGATGGCATCATTCCAGAGATTCTAATGCTTTTATGTAAATCTATTCGTTTTAAACACTCCAACAGATTATAAACTCTACTTGATATTCGTGGTTAAAAAACGTGTTGTTGACGTGTCCGATGATAACATATGTAGGTAGTGGTAGTTGTTATGTAGAATCCATTGTTGTATTTTTTTGTCAATGAAGATGATGATTAGTTGTGCAACAGAGCATCGGGAACTATTCTTGTCTTCTGAAAAGCTGTTGTTGTTCTATCGTTCAAGGCAGGTTATGTATCATCCGATGACACCACATTAATTCTTCTAGCTATCCAAGTACGTGCTGACAATTCTTGCATGTGCATGTGCATGTGTTCTTGCATGTGTGTGCATGTTGAGTGTATTTTCACTTACAATCTTCAAAATAGAGTTATCTTGTGAAACGAGTGTGAATTCTCTTACCTACATATCGTGCAATAAGCACAGTCTAATTTCTATTTTGTCATATCAGGACCAATCTTATTTCTGATGTAGTCCTTGGTTTTCACCGTTCCAGATACTTGTGTCCAAAGTTGTTCAGTGTAGCAGTTGTAATATATCGGAGCATCGGAATTCTTCCTTTCCAGGAATCACTGAAATCGTTTTCGCGCCTCATTTCAGTTGAACATTGTTCAATTTTGTAACTGAAACTAAACTAAACCCAGGAGACAGAGATACCACTTACTATTGAACTCACTTTGTTCGTTGGATAATAAAGGATAGGCAAATGTTTATAGCACATCATCACAAATCGTCATGCGAAATTCGCTATGATCTCATTGAAGATGTCATTAGTGCGTTAATAGTATTACTGAAAGCAGTGAAGCTTATATGATTCTGTTGTGTGACATATGTACTTTTGATCCATGGTACGAACGCTGTAAAACACGATTTTTTATCATACTATTATATATAATGCGAATGTAAGAAAGGAATTGGTGGGATGGATGTGCTTGTTACGGAAACTGTATTGTCGAAGACACTTTTCTGTGTGTTCAGATGAATCGATAACCGAAAGGAGCGGCTTCTCCCTTGCGATCGATCAATTTCGAATTGAAGCTGGATAAGTTCTGATCATGTAGGACAATTCATGACTTCATACATACGATTATCTATGGCTTCATTATAAACGCGATACAATAGACATCCCGACGATGGAAGTCCACAGTCCAAACCCGAAAGCCTCAAGACTCCGAACAATAGGTTATGCCGGGGAACTGATTAACTTTCGACAGTTCTTCAATGAGCGAACTAGCATTTACGATACCAAACATACGTCCAGAGCAAGAGCCCTTTCTAGAACACCATTTACGAGTTTGAACTTTACTCTCTACATTTCGCGTGTTATAAAGAATGTTAGGATCGCACTTGAGACTAGTTCGTAGCAAAGTTATACGAACCTGATCTTCCAAGGTTCCGTTAGTCTTTATGGATATACATGCTTCTTTAGCGAATGGGCTTATTTTCGGAAGTATATTTCCTACCACACGACAATTCAAAGTATTGCGAACTTGTTGTCAGCCAACGATAGGTGATGTCATGATACTTATCATTACGATTGAGAAGAGTTTACGAAAGCGAACGCTTAAATTGAGAGCGAAGTTAACTAGGGAAACGGTTTCGACTGAATCCGAGTACGATCGGAATATGCATTCCAAAATTTTTGAATCGAGCGGATAAGGCGTCTGCCTATACACAGTGTCAAAAAATAGGCATGATGACAGTATAAAAAATCAGAACCACTATTGCGATTGCTGTGCGAGGCCAACGGTTGGGATTGTTGATCATGAGAGAGCAGAAGTTGCAATCTATCGTCTCGCAGTAGTTGATGGGCGGGCAAACACAGGCGTCTCGTCATCAAAGACTCGCGTTTCGATGCAGTGATTTTGCGCATTGGCCTAAATGTCGGAGAAAGGGTTCACGTTGCAAATGTATCTTCCACCTCTAACGCACAAGACGTCGATGAAAGCAGGGGTGTAGGGAGTTCCAAGGCTTTGAAGGAGTCGTGGGCTCGAAAGTCATCAGTACTGCGGCTAGAATAAGCAAAATATTTGATACATTGAGAAAGCTTGCTCGGAATCACGTCTACATTCTCCGAGTACCGTGCATGTTTTTTCGCGTTGCGAGGCGGCGCAACATCGCAGTCCGACTCCCTAGCTTTGCAAGCTTGCTGACCTTTGTCTTGATTGATTTATTGTACGAATTCATCTGAAACCGATATTTCAAGTGGAATGAGTTGATTTACCGATCTTTTCGTAGTGATCTTGTACGATTTGCGAAGACTTACTGTACGTAGCACGTTGTCAGCTCCCGGGTGTAAAGCTACTGTTATTCCGAGGTTCCATTGGAAACGTGAACTAGTATCCTTCTCAATTAAGACAACCGCCCTAATGTGGGGCACAATTCCAGATGACCGGGTTCAAGAGAGAGAATCCCTAAAAACTTCAGTGAAAAGAGACCTGGGACCACATGTTCCAGAATTGTGCGAGTGAATCTTTTGTTTCTTCTGAAAATTTTTCTACATCTATGCTCGTTCCGCTGTATTCTGGATCGTAGTCAGGTTCAAATCTCCACGGAGTAATGTTTGCGTGAGGGTGAAGAAAAGCAACCGATCGTATAGGCATGGCATCTTTAATGTCTGATGAAACGTAGGTTAAAGGCCGACTATTAACGATAGCCTCATATTCTGTTGCTACAGTTAGGGACCCGTCGTCTGATGTGAATTTTCGATTTACATTTTCGCGCAAACATGATTTGACTGAACCTATTAGACGCTCAAAACCCACTCTTCCAAGGTGACAGTGGGGTAATTAAATTCCTCTGTATCCCGCGATTTACAAGGCCATTGTTTATGTCATCTACTGGTTCCGTTATTTCTGAAAGTGTTTCAACGATTGCACTACCTAGTTCAAATGTAGTGGCATTATCCGAAGTTATGGTTTTTGGTGAACCGCGATGCGATATGAAACGGCGTAAAGCGCGAATGAGCTCAACTGTCGTTAAGCCTTGTACGATGTTGAGATGAATCGCGCGTGTGCTCATACAAGTAATTAGAAATATCCGCCGCTTTTTGTGCAGTGTCTCCGATACGTTGACCGTAAACGGACCTGTGTAATCTATTCCGACATGTACGAAAGGGCGCAATATGCGTACTCTTCCTCCAGAAAGTGGGGAAGGTTGAGCCGTACTTATATGGTAAACCTAGTGAGCCTTGAGCTTTCCTACCCACAATACATTTTCAAAGGACCTTTGTGGTAGTTTGGCGACCTTGTGGTACCCTCAAGTATCTTTGTATCTCCGAAAGAGCAGCGTTTACCCCTTGATGTCCGATTTTTTGGTGGGTATCCCTTATTATTAGTCGAGTCATTATATGATTAGGTAAAAGGACGAGATGGGTGGTTTCAAATCCCAGGTTAGAATTTTCAAGGCGTCCTCTACAACGGGGTATGTGGTTTCTCAATTTGAGGTTCAAATGCTTGTAGCAGTGGAGCTGTTTTTCTGTCATAGTGCGATAATGGTCTCTAATTAAGACGTTTTCGGCTAACTCAAGGTATTTCGCATTGCTGTGTTCACCTTCCGAAATATAATATAACTCCGTATACTGAGTTAATCCTTTGTTCTGTAAATTCTCTTCCCTATAGCGTGACTTCAAAATGCGCTTTATAAATTTTAAAATTGTGGCCGCTGCACGCTTCATCTTGGTCCAACTTGTTAAGCCATAACGGAAAATTTTTGAATGCTCATTTACCACTATAAGATGCAGTCGTAGCAATACCTCCGATTCCGACCATTACATATGTAACACATTGACGAACTGCCACTCTTCCGAGGGAGTTTTGAGAAAAGCTGGTCCTGTTTACCAGCGATGTCTTCCAGTCATTACTGGCCAGACCTCGCGTGGCACAGTCCGCTACATTGTCGTTGCTGTCGACGAAATAATAACTGCAATTAGTTCTCTTACATATCCATAATTGATAAATGGCCCTCATCTTTCGAAAGCCGTTATTTACGAATGTGCCCCCATTTTGACCTTAAAGAAGTTGTGATAGTGCAGTGTTACTGTCCGAGAAAATGCGGATTAGTTCCCATGTTCGATCTTCTTGAAACCTGGGCATACCACATAATGTTTTTACACTGTTTTGCCGTACAGGTTTGTTATGGTGAAACCGCTTTATTAGGTCGACGTTTCGAACCACTCGTCTTCTTTAAGGACCTGAAAGTAATTCGGAGCTCCTGACCTGTGACTTACCCGACCAAACGCCCAAACACGCTAGGCCAGTTGCAACAACTCCCAGAAACTTGAACACCAAAAGATTCCAGCAAAGCAACCAACCTTCCGCGGTTTCACCAGCGTTGCCGTCCCACTCGATGCCGTGGACAATAAGGGACTAATGAGACACCATCGACGATCGTGATATAGGAATAACGCGGTGATCTTAAAGCCCACAAAAGGGAATGAATGGCAGAAGTTCACTCGTCATGGCAATGCATTCATTCCGGTTGTTCAGCTTTAGATTTCTCTCGCGGATGTGCAACGCTTCCAATATCTTTCTGGCACCGATCTCATTCTCGTAGGCTAGGATTTTGCATTTGACATCAAAATCATCGCCATGATGTTCGTCTAGTCGATGCCTCCCAAGAGGCGTGAGTAGGCTCCCACGCCTTTTACCCGCTAGATGTTCTTTGACGCGTATTCTCAACATCCTTCCCGTCTCACCAATATATATTTCGTCACAAGCTGAACACTGAAGTTGATACACTGTTCCTCACTATGAATGCATTGCCATAACAAGTGAACTTCTGCCATTCATTCCCATTTGTGGGCTTTGAAGGTGCGGATTGTTTCGATTGGATGGTCAAGCTCATTAAGTATAAAGTCTATAAGTTGTGCGGCAATAAGTAGTGCTAAGAGTTCTAGCTTAAATATCGTCATCGTTTTTCTTTCCGTGAAGTAACTTATGAGTGCGAGACGATGCCTGGCGCACATCTAATCATTTTCGATGTTGTTGTCAAGAATCTCACGAAGATAACATCAAGTTGCATAGGCATGATTAGAGGCTTCAGCAATAGTACAGCGTTTGAGTTTTTCCTCTGGCTTGGAAACACAGATACTACGATGTAGGCTTTTTGAAAACGTACTTACGTCCATGCAGGTTGATTTCCTACGTTCTATGTCTTGATCCAATAATTCCACATCCCCATTCATATCCCTTGGCCCACATGCTCTGAAGAAACATTCCAGCCGGTATCAGAAGTGGGATTAAGAGTCCTAGAGGGTCAAAACTGGAGTGGATGGTGCGAAGAATAATGCGCTTTGTTGGGTTGCTTCAAATTCGAGTTGCGACTGAATCAGTTAGTGGTCTTTTGTGTTTCCCAGAAGATGTCCAATACTTTATTTTTGTGGCACTGGCCCTTTCCTTTTCTGGAATACAAGCCTGTAGTTGAGCTGAGTTCAATGCGAATTCACTAAGTTTATGGAAATAACGTCAAAGATCCTTTTGTTCAACCGATATTTCGAATTAGCTTCTTCTTCTGAGTCCGAGCTTAGGATGCTATTATCCACGTGAAAATTGCGAGCAATTTTTTCGCACAGCTTTTTGAGCACAAATGCAATAGGCATAGCTAATAGAGAGGACTGGTTTTGGTGCCAAATGGTGCCCTTGTAAAACGGAGTTCCCTAATGTTTCAGGGGTTGGGTGGTTCAGTCGTATCTTTTAACCTTAGAACGTGTGGCGTTACGTTCCGATTCTTGCAGTCGGATCATATGAAATGCGTTTTCAACATTTCCTGTGATCAAGTGTTTTCCTATGCGAGTACGAATGAGGATGCCTAGTAAATCCGGGAAAATTGTAGGCATTTTATAAAGAACGTCATTCAATGATAATTGACCAACTTTTTTTGAATTAGCATCTAGCACTATTCTCCTATTCTCACCTTCGTAGTAGTACTTGTAGGTTCTATAACTGCCTGATGAGGAATATAATGAATGGGACAGTCACTGCTATTATCTGAGTGCGGTACATCCTCTATAATGTTGCGCTGGAGTTGTTCCTCGATTATTCTACTGTACGTCGGCCATATCTCATCATTTTTACGGAGAGAGTTATATAACTGATGAAGACGACTAAGAGCGGCTTTATAATTATCACTTAGATCCATATGATTCATTCCCCAGAGAAACTTTACGGATATCTTTTTATCTCTTATTTCGATTGCATCGTGAAAATCTTGCATAATTTTTTTCACTTTCATCTGTTTTCGAAAGAGGTTATGCTATCCCAAAGTTTTCGAGAGCCTACATTGCTGAAAGATCTAAGTTTGCCGTTTCTGGCTGTCCCAGCGTAACAAACGCGTCCCTTGATAACCAGTTCCTTGTGATCGCACTTCCCTTTTCCGAGACCACATGACCAAAAAATGTAGGTGTTGCGACTAACCCAAACGGTAAAGGTAATTTAGGCTCAGATGTATTGATGGCTTCATTTTAATAATCATTACCTATAAGTACCTTTGGAACAATTTTGTCGTCTTCCGTGTTGAGAAACTAGATTTCGACGTTATTACGAAATGCATAATCAGCATCCAGTGTCGACAAACGGGGGGGGGGGGGGGGGGGNGGGATTAATATTGTATCAGTCAGAGTGTCCTTAGTGGGTAACTTTAATGGTAGAATTTCACCAGTTATCCCGATAGCATTCGCATAAATCTTTTGCGAGTGTTTTCGCTCCTGCTTTCCTCCGAAGGTTGATAGCAAGCAAATAGTATCTCCTGATGAGGCAAGTAGTATCTTTGTGCAGGGATGCCAGTGAGCTCGCGCGCACAGGGAAGCAGGCTCAGTCTCTGCTTCTGTAGGAAACTGCAAGACCACATATAACTCATCCTAATAAAATCAAAAATGGACAATCATATAACAATGGGAATCAACAAATTGCATGATAACAAACAGTCATACAACATAATGATTACATAACATAAGGCAGAGGCTGAAATCAAGGAGAATATGTTCGTGGTGTCCAGGGCTTCGCCCCCACAGAAAGAGAAAGCTTGGGACTGCCGTCCTCGGTGGCGAGCTCCCATCGACTCCCCGTTGAAGTTCTTCTGGGTCGCCGCTCCGCCCTGGAATTCCATGATGAATCATCTAGCAACATCATCAGCTGATAGCCACGCTTGCAAGGCGCGGCTCACACCTCCCCTCCTTTACCCAAAGTCCGACCCGGACCTTAAGAATGTAAATCGAGAAAAAAAAGAGGAAGTTTCTCACTGGAAGTTAGTGGAGACGCTGTAGATACTGGGATAGCTCATCTGCTGGGACGACCGCTCCGATGGAATTTGCCCATTGCAAGATGGTGTTTCATGTAGGAACCTTCCTCAATGATTCGGCATGGCCAAGTATGATCTGACCATGCCTACAGCGACAGACAGCTACGTTGAGGCGGCGGCAATCGTTGAGGAGCTCGGCAATCGCTGGAGAGAAATCAGTTTTGGTAGTAAGCAAAATGACACGCAAAGTTTGGGATGAACTTTCTGAAAAAGTTGGCCATTCCCACGAACCCTTTCACGGCCTTTGTGGTAGTTACAGTGGGGAATCCTCAACTGGCTCCTATGTTCCTGTCCGCGGGCGAATAGGAAGAGCCTGAAATCTCATGACTCAGGAAGGTAATGCGGGTGTGCGCTATTTCTGTGAGTTTTTTGCCGGATGCTTTTATGGTAAACAGGCGAAAGCGGTAAAAGGCTTCTTGGGTAAAGACTGCAAATGATGAGGAAAGTCCTCGGCAAAAATGACTATGTCATCTAAGTAAGCAAGGCAATTACTTTCTAAACCTGCTAGTATGCACGCCAAAGCCCTAGAAAAGTAAGCGCTCGGATTTTTGAAGGTAAACGAATTCATAGATACCGCAGTGTGTTGCCCAACCGCTCTTTTTCTGACTCTCCGGAGAGAGGAGGAGTTGCATATTCCCTAACGCCAAATCAAGAGTGGTATAGAACTTATGAGCAGCAATTTTTGCTAGAATGTCCTCGATGCGAGGCAAAGGATAATGATCGGGAACGGTAACGCTATTCAAGAGACGAAAGTCCAAGCACACTCTCAAGTAACCATCTTTTTTCTTGACTAGAACGGTGTTGTTAACCCATGGGGTATCGCCTTCGACAATACGCCCAGCAGTCATCGTTTTTATAACGATTTGCGACTCTTCATAGGAACCAAGATCGTAAGATCCGGTCAAGATCGGATCGCGAAGCGAAGCTAAGAACAATTGAGCTAATTGATCAAGCTTTTCCTCAGACAGTTCTGCGGAAGACAAGACAACGCTAAAGGTATCAGCACTAACAGTTGTTTCAGGGCGGTCGGCCCTCGCCACGATATCTCCTACAAAGGGAGGTAAATCAGGATGAACATGAGAGATGAGCACTGAATTATAGATTAAGCACTCAATGATATCTGCTGCCCTTTACAGAGTGTTCCTGGTTTTGAAGATGGATTAGAAACCAAAAGAAGGGGGTCAGCAGCATTGACCACAGCCGGAGAGATCGTCAGTGATTCATGTGACAGTTTTCCATTTCGGGAGACTAGTACGAGTGAGATCTGGTTGGTTTGTTCTATTATGCAATGCACAAGTGTCTCGGATGACGGGGATAGTACGGTAGTTTTTGCTACGCGGATGGGTATCTGCTGCTAAGGGCGCGTCCGCGGGGGTCGCGCATAGAATTTTCAAGTGGTCCTCCGCAAAACGAAGGGTACAGTTGTTATAATCAATAGACCATGGCAGCAAGCGTCTAAGAAGGTCGTTACCAAGAATGATATTGTAAGCGTCTGCCACGTCGGGAATACAGGCTGACTTAGTAAAATAAATGGGTGTCCAAACGATAGGTGACCGATTTCGAACGAAAGCGTTGCAAATCCTAAAAGCTGAACAGGTACTCCTGCCATTCCTACTGCACTAGCGACATCGCTTTGAAGAATTTCAAATGCTCCGAAGAGAGGAATGGAGTTAACAGAAGAGAGACTAATGGAACCTCCTGTGTCTACTATGGCTAAGACTTGCACTTGATTGACACGAATAAGTATTCGAGCCACGACAAAGCGATCACGATGAGATAAATACAACATATTTACGGAACTCATTATTGCACGAGGTGGCCAAGACGAGAGGCAACATGCCGATTTTACGGGCTGAGAAGAGAGAGGATACCGAAGGGCGTGCGTGCGTGATTACTGGCTCTGTTTAGCGACTAGTAGCAAATGAAAGCAGGAGCTCGGAGACATGGGAGCAGCCCCGGATAATATATATGGCAAAATAGAATAATAAATGGCCTGATTAAGTGAAAGGTAACAAGAATACCACAAAAGGTGATCTAAAAACCGAAAGCTGACCAAGGACCAAAAAAATGTAGTCCAAAGCGAAAACGGACGAGCATTTTGCATCACAGAATTGAAAATCGGTTCTTTTTCATTGGTTACACGAATATACGAAAGACGATCAGTCGACTTAGTAGTCCATGATTCCTGCCACTGATGGTCTTGAACTAGCTCGCTTGCATTAGTCAGAATCAGGTTATGAAAGATTGTAAGAGGAAGAGCTAGCGATGAAGAATTTGAATAGAGGGGATACCAATGCTAGGAACGAGATCATTTGGGATTATCTGAGAATTACCTGTAGTAGAGTCAAACATAAGAGAGGAATCTTCACGCCTAAGGTAAAAATATCGTACTGTAGAGCAACCAACGGGATCTGCTTGTTGGGAAGCAACTAAAGTGGAGGGATCGAGAAACAATAAAATGGCTGTACCAGATGGAGGAATAATTTTGACTAAAGGTTCAGAAAAACAAGTGCCATCAAACGGAATCAATTTCAAATTGTTCGCAGGCATTGCCATGCAGCGATGAATTTGTATCAAGTCGGCACTCAAGGAAGAGGCTGCGATATCAGTGCGCTCCAAAAGGTTACGGAGAGTGAGAGTAGGGTTGGCCACTAGAGATGTATGGAAAGCAAAGCTAAGAGATTCGTTCTATCACATAACGACAATAACGCGTGATGAAAAAGTGAAGATACAGCTGGACTTAGCGAGCCCTCCACAGCCAAGAGCTGCGCGGCCAATTGATAAGAAGTCGCTATACCTGTGTCCACATCCGTTGATCTCGGACGACAGATAACTGGTGCAATAGCGTAACCTTGATCCGAGACGATGAGCCGTGCTCCGCAATCTAGAACGCGATCGCTGGATTCGTGCCAGGATAGTGCAAACTCCTTAGAATCCCTGATCCAAATTTCGCTCAAATGGCGGCCCTTCATTTTCATTACCGGTGAGAGCCTACACGATTCTTGCTTGTTGGGGGTCCATAGAAGGATTGGCCCGTCCTGGAGCACGCAATCACCTGACTCGTAGGTACATTGGGCTAAATTTCCAACCGCGTAATCACGAGAGGCAGCTTCATGGTGCACGTGTACAACGGTTGGGAGAACAAAGCAGTTGGAAACGGCAACGTTGCGCTCCGAACAACACCCGAAAGGAGCCGAGGACCATTAAATTATAATTGAATTTGAGGTTGCCCAAAAGTCGTTTGACCAAGTCATGCTACCGCACTCACACTTATGATGCTGGATCATCAGCTTGCAAGACTCGAGGGACAGTAGAGTAACGGACTGAGTGACAACTTTGTACAGATGGGCCGCAGTGTCATAGTGCCGTGTATTAGGGCGATAAATATGAACCGACAGCGCCTTCTTCGTTTCTTCAACCGGGGGAATGATCCATGAACAATTACACAATGTTGGGATGCGCGCAAGTGCTTCAGCTGGGTCACGCGGGCATAACCATGCCGTCGTCAAGAGCGCTCCGCTTGATGCGAAATATAAAAGCATAGAGACCGCGAAAAGCAGCTCAACTTGAGGCATCGAAATGTAGGAAGATTGCTCGAAAGTAAAATTCGCTAATTCCTCATTACGCTTTACTAACTCCTTGACCCTGGCGTCAGATCTTTCCAGTGCGGATTGATTTTCTTGCAAAGAAATAGAGAGGGCTCTGATCTGAGAGAGCCTGCGAAAGCTCTCTATCCCTATCGAGAGAGCTTGCGAAAGCTCTCTATCCCTATCGTAGCGAGAAGGCGGAATACCATCACGGGGTAAAATTCGGGAATAATTACGATTGCTCGATGAGCTGCGCAAAGAAGACTTGCCTGCCGTTCGGCGAGTGACCCGAGGTGATGGGCATTGGCGAGAAAAATGGTCATCACCTTCACAATTGAAACAGCCAGTCGTCGGTTCTGCCCTCACTAGACGCGTGGGCAGTCGCCCTCTTGATTGTTGACTGAAGTTTACCTGCCCGCGGTTGAATGGGTTTCTGCGCCCTCTATAATTCTGACGCTGAAGTTTTGTTTCGCAGGTGCTGCCGCTTTTACCTCTATAGCTTGGGTTGGTAGCGAGGGCTTGGTGAGACGGTGTGGCCTCAGCTAGCAGTTGCTCGACCATTTGGGCTTTCGCGACAGCTTGCTCAAATGTTGCCGGATTATCAAGCTTTACATAATAGCGAGTATCGGGTCGTAACAGATGCGCGGCTACCGAGGAATAATCTTCACGTTTATCACCTGCAAGTTCCTCAATCTTTTCTCTGGCTACGCCGTCTAAGAACCTCGTCAGGGAAATCCCTTCTGCTGGGACGTCCAAGTGGTAGACCTCATGCGCATCATATCCTTCAGACGTCTTAGCCACAGTGAAAATTGGAGTAGATCATCTCCAAATCCAGAAAACGGGACTATGCGTGGCAGAGGCCCGTCTGGGCTCACCGTAGCCACCAATGGTAATGAATCGATGCTCTCACCTACTGCTGCGAACGAACTATTCAGATCCGAGAGCAAGCTGGAATTGCCTTCATTAATAGTTTGGGCGAGCTTTGTCGCCCCGCCTTGGCTCCATCTCGGAGCTCGCCTATGGCAGGCGCCGTGGCATCCAAAAGAGCCTTGGCGCTTTTCCTCGAACCGTAGCGCGGTCATCTAGATCGGCTAACGCTCCAGGTTAGCGGAAGCTGGCATGTTTGAATCTGGTCTTGGCGTCAGGGCAACTACGGCCCTAGATTCGGTCGACTGAGACCGGGTTACGGGAGGCCCCATGATCCCACACACAATCACGAAAAATCACGACAGAAAATAAAGCTTCAAGGAAACTAAAAGGAAAATGAATGTCAAAGGGCATGGCTCTTTTAAATGTGTCGAGGTGGGCGGCGCCAGCCAATGAGAGGCGTGACCCTAGAGAGTCAATTCCCAGAGCTGCTTTGAATTCTTTTTCATGTTTCTGATTAAAATCTGATTCATGCTGATGTCAGGCATGATAAGGCTTGGGAAAAAGCCGAGAATTCAAAACATCCAATGGGAACAGTCACCCTATCTAGCGCTTGATCTTTGACGGAGCCGATAGACTGCTGCCGAAGGGAGCAAAGGGCGGCATGTGGTGGGAAAGCATTTCAAAAATTCAATGGCTGGAAGTGATGCCGTCAGAGCTGGGAGTCAAGATCACGATCAGATCGTGCAAACGCAAAACGTGGGTAAAGGTATGCGTTATGTACGAGGAATATTAATTATCGGCGTTGGAATTACGTAAAAAGAATATTAATGAGGTTCGAGTAAATAGACCCTAGTCTCAATAGGAGAGCTGGTGAATAGAACTAGGTAACGCTAACGAGTAATAAGAAGAGAGGGGCGAAGATTGTAACATATATTTTATGTCAAAAGGCGAGTAAGAAACAGACGCGGCGTGACCTGATTCTTTTGATTATCTCTTTCGTGTGATGGGTGAGTGTTAACGCGTTCTCTCAATAGACTCACCATATGGACAAAGGTCAGTGCCGCCGATGAAAATATGCTCAATATCGCCAGGAGGCGATGGCCACACTTCTCCTAATATAGAACTTTGGGGGCCGGCCAAACTAAGATAGGAGGGGCAGTGAATTATTAGTGGGATTGATTCCGTAGAACGGCTGCGAATTAACCACGAAATACTCTCGAAAACTGTTCTTTGACTCGGGCCATGCAGGTCCATAACGAGTGAAACATGTGTAAAAAGATAGCACGATGTTGAAAATAATAAGACTCGTTTAGCTCACAACCACGGTTTTACGCCGTTTAATATTAATTTAGTTTTTTTTTGTTTGTTATTTTTATTCTACAAATGAATAAATATATCCCGGGAAAGTCCTTTACATTCAAAGGGGGGTGAATCCGCATGCCTCCTCTAGTAGGCCTAACTTAACCTCTTCTCGCCGCATTCACAAAGACGATTTAACGTCCCCAGAATTACCCTACAAGAGATCAAAAGCTTCCAAATACAACTTAAATGCGGCTATGCACGGCTTACTTCAAACGCTAGCTTATCATTTCACAACCTTACTACGACCTGGGACGAACTCCCTGACTTGCTTCTTACAATTAGTTGACCTTCTTCCGAAACTGCTTCTTGTCTTGAAAGGCGCCTGACAGTTTTAGACCCCTGCCGCGGGTGTAGTAAACTTCTGAAGTCTTAAAAAAAAGATCGTTCGTTACGGCAAGGAATACCGTACTACGCTGGCTCACAGATGCGACTTCCTAACTCGTGAAAAACTAGTGCGGCTGGACCAAAAACGAACGTAGCCAGAAAAGGAAAATTCCTAAAAGAGCAAACGACAACTGCAGCACGGTACATTCCTTGTCCGGAGTCGATGGGAGGACGAGAGAAGCTGAAAACGAATAACGGCCGTTAACTGGACACAAGCGGGCCCTTTCACATGCAATTCAGTCACGCCGAGACACCTAAAAATCACCTGTCCATCCACTTACCTCCTACAGCGAGGGGGAAACCACTCGCCGCTACCACTGAGCTCGCGCGCACAGGGAAGCGGGCTCAGCCTCTGCTTCTGTAGGAATCTGTCAGATCATATATAACTTATTCTAATAACATTAAAAATAGACAATCATATAGCAATAGAAATCAACAAATTACATGATAACAAACAGTCATTCAACATAAAGATTACAGAACATGAGGCAGAGAGATCAGGGAGGATATGTTCGTGAAGTAAGCTCGGGGCTGCCGTCCTCGGTGGCGACCTCCCGTCGACTCCCCGTTGAAGTTCTTCTGGGTCGCCGCTCCGCTCTGAAATTCCAGGATGAATCATCTTGCAACATCATCTGCTGATAGCCGCGCTTGTACGGCTCGGCTCTCGGCTGAACTTGCTCCCTTTCATGCGATATAGGATTACATAGAGTTATTGCCGCTTTCATTAAGCGCGGGGGAATATCTGCTTTCACGTATACGTTATATAAATGAATCACCTCTTCTGAGTCGGACCTCGAGTCAGATAGATCTGTTGTGGCTACAGAGTTGACAATCATAGTAGTCGCGTCACCAGAACGCCTAGGCATAGCTATTGGAGATCTTGTGGCAGCTTGCATCCCTTTGAACCCCTCTTCCATTGAAGGTGATCTCTCCGAAGAGTATTTATGAGAATAGTTTTGAAGGGGTAGAGAACGAGCAGAGGATCGTTCTCCGAAATTCGTACGAGATCTTGAAGATCTTTTACAGTTTCTGCCTCTGCTTTCCCAATCACACGCCTGGAAGGGCAAATTTTTCGGTGTACAAAGCCTTCGACGCAGGTAACCTACTCGGTTTAGACCTGGACTACGGCCTATGATACGACTGGGCCTACGCAACACTATATTGTGAGGACCATTACAATCAAGATATGGAGGCTTAGAACAGTCTTAGTAGAGATGCTGTGCGGAGAAACATTTGAAACCCTTTTTTAGTGTTCAAAATCGTTCTCTTCGTTCGTCCACAGTACGATATCGGCTACAAGAACGGATTTTGTGAGCACCTTCGCACTCCGAGCATCGATGTTGCGATGCTGGTTTCGTTGTGCTACGAGAATAGATTTGCTAGGATTAGGTTGCATATTTATTATGAAAACCTGGGTTACCTCTAACTTGTGTACTATGCTCCTAATTTCCGACATAAGTTTCTCCATACTCTAGTTGGTGGCGTCGTCATATCCTTCCGAGAGAAGCTTTTGCTTAATACTAAGTGGAGATCTATGGAATACCTTAGTTTTATATTCGACTGCGTCAATATGGGCTTCAGCTTTCGATAGCGGCGTTATGATAGCCATGAGATCGTTAACCGTCCTACGCAATTGAAAGGTTGAGGAATTTGTTCTAGCTGGTTTAACAGGAGTTTGATGATACGGTCTTGACTGTGAAACTGTTCCTTCAATTGCCTTGCTGCATCTGCGTAGTTCGATGCTTTACGAGGAATATACTTCAAGGCTCTCGCGGCCTCCCCTTTACATTTCTCTAATAAAATAGTTAACTTTTCTATGTCCGAGTACGGTTGTATATATACGAATTCCGGAAATATCTCTCAAAAAGCTTCAAACTCAGTAGGATTACCATTCTGGAACTCGGAGTTTCTTACGATATCAGTGAGGGGGAATGCTAAGTGAACGCTGCGTTTGTACACTATCCGAAGAATGTTGTGGGAATGAGGCTTTTGGAAGTTGCGAGAAGGAGAGGGGAGAGGTTGATTGCATGCTTCCTGATCGTTGAATTCGTCGGCATACAATACCTGCATTTCATGGGTTGCAAGTTCCAATAGTCTTATTTCGAGTTTCTGAATTGATACCCTTGCTGCTTCTAGGAGTCCTTCTCCTTGGTACTCATCCCAACATTTTTCGAACCCCTTCACCGCCTCTTCGTTAGAAGAACCCTGATCTGAAATGCGAGAGAGTGTATCTTCATTAATGGTAGTACCCGTTCGAGTTTAGTTTCGAGGTTGTTGCAAAGGTATTCATTATGTTACGTTGGGTACAGATGAACACGTAAAGTGCTTTTTGTGTTTTTGGAAAATCCCATGCTTCGTCATATTGCGAACATTCCGAAATGGTATGACTTATACCGTTCAAGAAACGAGTAATCTTCTGGTCTTGGTCTTGTGATGTGCTTTACAAATGAAGTCTGCGCCACAATAAGATAAGGGAGGGGGCGTGTTCAATATAATCCACGCGAATGAAAACATTTTACCTGCGTGAGAGTTAAAACACTTTACGGTCATCCCGTTGCGAAACGGATGATATGTATGATCCTGAGAATATAAAAATCTGAGGCATGAGAAGATCATTAGCTTCCCCACATTCCTTGCGAGAAACATTGCTTGCGAAAAATCCACTTGCGAGAAACCGTCCACTGTTATAATGTTGCTTGCAAGAAACCGTTACCATAACGTTACTTGCAAGAACGTTACTCGTAAGACAATGCGAATATAATAAAACCAGTGGTGGTATGACCGTACCTTGAAAAACACATGGTGGCTGACTGACAATGCTTCCTGACTCGCGGCTAAGCGCAAATTACGGGCGTCCATCGTTGGACCACCTGACAGGAACTCAGGGGCTAGCTGTCCCTCCTGCACGAACAGTATAAAAGGAACACCAAAACGCTGAGAATGAGGTGGTAGGAAAGAAAGTGAATTTGCGGCGGTAGGATAGTAGGGGAAAAGGGAGTCAGGAGTGGGTTGGAAGGTAACGCCGAGCGATGCATCATAACGTCGGTTGTGTTTCGCACTATAATGCTGACCAACGATTTTTTTGATGCTTCGACGAAATCAACACAAGGTCTCGAGTTGAAGCAAGGGAGAAGTGCCTCCAAAATCTCCGTCTATAGCATTTATACCTTAGTTATAGTAGACTCCGCCTATCGTGAGCTCTCTCACGACACGAGGGTG